TGGGAGGGAGGCACAGACACATGCTATGGTTTGACTAGTCCTGTGAAATCAATATAGAAGTTTAATTGCCATTGTGACAATAATAACAACCGGGACATTTTGAGAGGGAAGAGTCATTAGACTCATCCTTTGTAGCTGGAATGATTATCAGCGTTTGCCATTGTTGTAGATGTGGTCTAGTTCTCTCGAGAGTGGCTCCCTTCTAGAAGCTAGCTCTGTCTCATTTGCTTCCCACATAATAGCCGCTGCTGTATTACGATACAGCAAGAAAGCCCTTGCTAGACTACAGCCCTTTGATCTTGAACTTCTCTGCCTCAAGAATCACTATGTGAAATAAATTGTTCTTCATGAATTATCCAGTCTGCAGCAGTCTCATAACCCATCCGCAAATGGACTAGGAGTCGCGAACGGCAGATGTGCAATTACAGTGTGCCATTGCCTTTAAGAGGATGGTGACTAGAGCTGAAGATATAAAGTGGATGGGTTTACAAGCGTGATTCCCAGGTGTCCTCTTTTCATGGTGGCATGACAGTATTAAGAGTCAATAAAGTGGAGGTTTCAGGAAGAAAAACTATTTGATCATCTTCTTTTTCTATTAGTTGTTTAGCAGTCTTTCCCGCCTTTAGCCTGTTCCTGTCCTCACATAAGATACAGTAGTAGATTCAAGCTTTTATGTCAGTAATCTATTTAGGTTTCATGAAATAAATACAGGGGCGTGCTCAGCAAGAACTTCAAGAGAGCTCTAATAAATAACTACTTTTCATTGCAGTACTTTTAACTATTGAGAGGATTCTAAAGCTTCTTTATCTTCCTTCCAAGATCCTGATCTTGAAGGTCATTTTTTTTGTACAAAATCAGGATACTGTATACAGGTCCAGGTCTCATGTCTGCTTATCAGTAGCACCAGCCTAGTTTGCAACGGAGGGCCCAATGTTTTCCATGTTTGGTTCTTAGAAGCCCTTTATCTTTCATCACCTACTATGTCTCCCTGAATTCAGTTGCAGGACTCAAGTGTACTGATAACAGCAAGAAGGCTCAAAGCCCAGTATCCATTTCCTCCTAGATTCTCTAAGCTGCTCAGATAGACATAAAAGGCAGGCTGGTTATGATCCCCAAGCCTATGCAGCCAATAGATACCCGTCTCTCTTTATCCCAGAACTTCCACAATCTACAGTTGTTCTTCTGGGACCTCCTCCTACCTTTGGTTAATGGGGCAGATGCAAAGGTTTTGGGATTCTGTCAAAAATTAACAAGAAATCTCCTTGAAAATGTCTGTCTTCACCCAGGTACCCAATGCACGGAGTGGGAAACATTTAATGCTGCAATATAACAGAACCTACTTAGCATTCAGTAAGCCATAATTGAAGTGTGTCTAGTTTCCTTCAGAAACCTTATTGAACAGTATTTTTCTAATGCCTGCATTGCCATAGAAGCCACCTGGAATCTTAAAAACAAGGAGAGTGGATACTATTCAGAGATTTAGAGTTCATTGGTCAGGATTTACATGTCACTTTTTACGGCACTAAAATGAAGTGGTGCTTAACGCTATCACTTTAAACCCTGGGCTTTTATCGGTAATTCTGAGACACCTTGAAGAACCCAATTTAGCATCGTTTCTACATGCGATCTCAAAAAATAATAGAATGCAAGGCTTTTAGGATTGTTAGGGATGAAATAAACTAAGTTCACTTTGTTCTAATGTATTACTTAGGAAAGAATGAACCGGTATTTACACAAGTATGAACACTTTTTATAAATAAGATACTCCGGTCTTATTTTCTCCCCCTCTCAATCAATATCTCTCAAATGAGGATGAGGGCTAGGAGCCTGTGTCTCAGTCAGCTCTCTTAGTGGTCTCAGGAACCATCATATTTCGAGCCATTTAATCTTTGGCAGGTTTTTAACAGCCCTCGCTGCAAAATATAATCTCAGAGGGACTTTGACAATGTCACGTTCACTAGATCATCTAGATATATCTACCCTGGATGCATTTGAGCCTCGTGTCCAGATACCATGCAGAGCCAGCCACACTGTAATCCCATGCATGTGATTGCACCAGGCACCTGTGTTTTGAAAGCTCCCTGGATGATTATAGTATACAGCTGTGATGGTTAATCTTCACTCTCAACTAGACTCAATCTCAAATCATCATAGAAAGATGCCTGGCTGGGTCTGGGGATATTATTTCCAGAAGATGTCAAATGAAGAAAGAAAACACCTTCTGGATGTGATTGGAACCATCTGGGGAAGGGTCCTGGGCTGAATAGAAAGAAGGGAGCGAGCTGAACACTGACATTCATCTCTCTGCTTCCTGAGATTGCTGACCACTGGGGCCAGGCATCTTACACTCCTGCACACCAGCGCACACAAGGATGCACACACATATAAACATGGACACACGCCACACAAACATGGGAACACATAAGTAAGAAATGTGGAAATGCCCAGGGATGAAGGAGGAAGACAGGTGTGCAAACTGAGACAGAGTGATAGGAAGGACTAGTGTAACAGAGGAGTGAACAAGGAGTACTAAAAGGAACACAGGCATCAGTGAAGACATCCTGATGCTTTTTGAGCTAGGTCTCCCCTACAAGCACCAAAATGTCCTCCACAAGACGCTTTCTCACTACTCCGTCTCTTGGCACATTCCCTCTTATTTCAACTTGAACCACACTGAGTTCCTTTCAGTTCCTTAACTGACCCACTCCTTTAATTAAGCCTTCCATCTTCACGGATCCTGTTTGCCTAAAATATCCCTCACCCTTTTCCTGTTTTCACCACCAGCCTAGGAGTTATGTGAGCGTTACTCTTGTCCAGCCTCCCGCAGGATAAAATATGCCTTTGCCATATATGACCTACCCCATGTTTGGGACCCTCAGAAAGCACATGCCCCCAAAACAAGAGACGGAACCCCTGCCTCTGTTGTGTGTTTAGGTTCACACACAGAAAAAAACAGCATTGCAAGAAGAATAAATGGAATTGTATGCCAATGGCCAGGAAATGCGCTATGACAGTGTGACATTCTGTGACTTGTTTTAGAAATGGAAGAAAAAATGGATTTCCAAGATACAGCCTGGGGATGGTGGGATTTACTAATGCAGGAAAGGAATTTGATTGCTTAGGCCTTCGACAAACCGCCAAATGACCTGCACTTTATCCTGCAGGTAACAGGATGTCAGTGAAGTTTTATGTGCAAGGGGCTAAGACCTAGATTTGTCATCCAGGAGAGTTACCCGAGAAGCAGCGCAGTGGGTGGTCTGAACAGGAAGGGACTAACTGAAAGGAGATCAGTCAGGGTACGTTCCTGGACCACGGGTGAGAAATGACGAAGGCGTCCCTGAAATAATGAAGTGGAGAATGCCATTCAGAAGGTGCTTTGTAGAGAGGATCCATAGCACTTGCTGACTAACTGCCTGAGGGGGTGAGTGTGAAAGATGCTGCCGAAGTCCAGCCTGGGAGTCAGGCTGCTCGGAGTCCTATTAATGGAAATATGCAATGCATGAAAAGAAGAGCGGGTTTCAAGGAAAAAATAATAATGAGCTCAGCTTTAAATATACTGAGTTCTCTGTGCCCACGGGGTATCTGGGTAGAGTATTTTCTGTGCTGGAAATGCATACCGTCTCCCCTGGTACTTTATTGATTGTTGATGTGCCTGGTGTTGTCCAATTGGCTGTGCCGTCTTCCAGTTTACGTTCTAAAAGACAGACTTTGGAAACTGACAGTGTCACATTGATTTCATGATTTGTTTTACTTTGGGCTACAATTGGCAATCAAAATAATTGCTTCAGGGGGAGATTCTAAAATCCTTCCCTGGCAATTTGCTTCCATTAGATACACACACCCATGCTAAGTTTGCCCAAATTCAGAAGAGTAAGAATTTTTCCCATAGGCAACTCTGCTGTTGAAGAATCTTTTTTCTTGTTAGATGGTGAATTCCATAATTTCTGAAAGGAAATATATTATTCTTGATAAGCTTTGTATTACGTATCACAGATATTTTAATTGATGGATGCATAAATAGAAGGATGAACAAATGGATGGATGGATGAATGGGTTTGTAATCTTACTGCACTCATACGTAATATTTTCTGTAGCAAGTTGCCTAGGAATTGAAAGCTTAATATCCTACTGTTTAATGCCTAAGTGACTTTTTGGTGGGATGAGGACTATAGCAACTGTGTGGGAAGGAATCACTATAAATAATTTTAAATGGGCTTTCATTACATTATTTTCTCTTGGCAATGTGAACTAATTCAGGGATTTAAGATTTGCTGGCTCCAAAGGTTAGCATAAGTCTTGATACATTAACCTTTGAAATTAATATTTTAAAACTCTCTTGACACTGTTCTAAAAGCTGGCAGATGAGGCTATGATCAGATTTCTGTTTTGAGAAGGTAAAACTGGAGAGCAAACAAAGACGCTGGAGAATAAGCTACTTCAGGTGTACAGAAAACAGATAATGAGGACCCAGAACAACGCAACAGTGAATAGGGGTGAAATGGGAAAAGTTGGTCAAATAATTTTATCCACATATAATTAACATCATACAAGACTGTGAGAACCTTGGTAAACTAGTAAAGTTTCTTCCTCAGAGAGTTTATAGACAAAGACAGGAGCTGCACAACCAAATCATCATGATAATAAGTACCGCATTGCATCTGTGATAAATGTCATCTAAAAAGAAGTAACAAACTCAAAAATAAAAGTTGTGGTGGGCACACAGTATTTAAGAAGCTATATCAGAAAGATCTTGAGTTTAGAATACTTAATGCACTTAATGTTGAGAATTGCCATCAAATATATAAGCAAAAACTTAACATTTGACAAGTTAAAGTGGCCTATGAAGCCAATAAGCTCCAAGTTATAGGTTCTGATTTTACAATTAATTCCACCTGATTATCAACCGGGACGATGTCATCACTCACTTGAAACAATGGCATTTTGTGATGTGATGATTTATTCTCTGTCTTCATGGTAATTGTTTCTTTCCCCCCACTCAGATGTTGCAAGAGCAATTGAACTACTGGAAAAGCTTCAAGAATCCGGAGAAGTACCTGTGCACAAGCTACAGTCTCTCAAAAAAGTGCTTCAGAGTGAGTTTTGTACAGCAATCCGAGAGGTAGGACGCAGATTTTTAACAACTACATTAGGCCATATGTCTTCTGGGTAGAAAGCATGTTTTCCCATATAAACGGTTGAAATTGTTAAGCTTAGAAGTACATCTTTGCTTTCCGTTTTTAGCTCCTTGGACAGATGATAAAACATAATTTAGTCTGCTAAACTCTTAAATTAGACCCAGGCAGAAATTATACGTTTATATAAAACCAAATGTTGAGTTTTTTTATGATACCAGAGAAGGCTCTGCTTCAGCAGGTGCCTGCGTGTGTATTCTGAACTACTCAGCAGTCCTGTGGAGCCACCCAGAGATTCAAGTAGAAATAATCATAATTAATGAGGTCATTTTTTGTGGGTACACTTGAGTAAATCTTTCATAGTTAAGCCTGAAAGAGTAACTTCCTACCAATTGAAGTTATGGCTACTTAAATAGCAGAGTCTAGTGTGACAATGGAAGAATCTCCAAATAGACTGGCATGCCTTGTAGCAAGTCTGCATAATGCTTCCTGGCTTAGTTTTGTTTTTGTTAAGTGAGGTAAAAACAATTGTGCTCACATGACAATTTAAATCCCTTAAATTGGATTGTGGTAAAATCGACTTACTCAACTGATTAATTTAATGGCTCACAAGAAAACATCCTTCAGAAATATAAGCTAGCTCATTTATTTAGTAACCTTTTATACTTTACCTGTCACTCACTCGATAAAACTCAATTAATCAGAGCCCAGAGTCTATAAATACCACAGCGTAGCTGTTGTTTTAGGAGACCCAGCTGATGGATCTTCTACTGGTCTCTTCCTCAAGGCCATATGAACCCACTGAACACCAGGAAGAGTTTGCTATAGTGCCAAGCGGATGCCTCTGAAGGACAGATGCACCAGGCTTCAATCTGCTTTTGTAACGCTGCAAATGAATGATGCTGGTTTATGGGTCACTGATAGGTCCAAAAGACCTTCCTAGTTGACTGCAGCAGGCATGCACATACTCTGTAGATTTAAGGTGTAGCCTCTGCCATGCGTTTAGCGTTGAGACTTGGAGGGGGTTTGATTTACAATATTTGTGCTTAGAATTTCTCAGGGGACACTGTTTGCTATTTGCTTTTTGTTAATACTGAACAAAGCTGGAATAAATAACTATTCCTAAATTTTCAACCTATCAGTTGAGCAAGGATTTGAAGGAAATTTCTCAAAGTGTACTAGTTCTATGGCTGTCTTCTCCTTAGTACAAAAAAGTATATGGCGCCGAGAAACCCTTGGATAACCTCAGATAACCTGGTGCGAATGCTGCCAAAGTAGCAGCTATGTTCTCCAGGCTCTTTTTTCTTTCCCTTTGGATTGTGTAATCTCTTGAGAATTTGTAGCCAACTCTTCCATTTTTAGAAATTAAGTCATCTCTTCTGTGTCATAGTATTCTGTTTTCTGCAGAAGGGACTCACGGACAAGACACGTAAAACACGTATCTCTGCTCAGTAACTATGTGGCTCACGATCAATTCCAAGTCTCTGTGCTCACAAAACTTGCACTCCTCATGAAAGAAAATAGTGATAGGTTAGCTTACAATAGAACATGAGCGAGTGACGATGCCATAGGCAGGAGAAAAGTGGATCAGAAAGGGTTGGAACAAGATTCGACCAATTTAGGAAGGTCAAGGGAAAAAAAGTACAATTGAATATTTAAAAAAAAAAAGTCACACACATCCTGAGGAGGGTGGTGTTTCAGGCACAGCAAATCACAAATATAAAACCTCAAAGGCAAGAATGGTCTCAATGCATGAATAAATACTCCACAAGGCAGAAAGTCTTCATGGAATGGACAAGGTACATTCCTTAGAAACAGCTGGAGAGCAGGTTACACAGAGCTTCTTGGGTCATATACAAACATTGGTCTTTATTCTCTGTAAGGTTTTCTGGGAGATTTTTGGCCAAACTTGGTTTGCTTTGGGAAAGGTCTCTCTGGCTCCTACCAAAATAATTAATTAATTATTTAAAAAAAAACACACACAAATACTTGTACATATGTGAAAACAAGAGACCAGGAACCAGAAACCAAGTAATAAGGATGTCAAATGAGAGATGGAGTGTGGCGGCAGTACAATAGGAAGTTGTCAAATGTTTCATGTGTTTCTGAAACAAAAATGAATTGCTGATGAATTGAGGACATAACGTTGAAGAGATACAAGTATCTGTTGGTTCTGAATTTGGGTCTTGACAATTGGACAGACATGCATGAAAATGCCCTAATGAAGTACACTATTTATGTAGTCCATACATGCTAACCAATCAAGAATACAAAAAGATGTTCATAAAGAAGAGAATGTAAGCAAAAATGACTATTTTACACTGTACAAACCTGAAATGGTGAGAGTATTTTTATGTTCACGCTAAGTACTTAGTTCTAATTTTGTTCTTAGATTCAGTACTTATCATCTTGTCTGGCATTTGTAGCAGTGATTTAGAACCGATCGCGTGTCTACAGTCTGTAGTTATTGTCACTGTGATCTCTGCATTGCATTACATATGATGTGGGAAGCAGTTGCAAAATTGTAACACAACAGCTTTAAATAGTATCATCGTGACAACGCCTTCAGTGGCAATACATTATAAAATATAAGTATGTGTTGCCAGACAGGGGAATCAAAAGCCAATAAAAAATTGATTCTAGGAAGTCTGACAATGAATATCCAAGAGTTAAATAAGCGTGGGTCAAGAGGGCTTTCATTCTTGGTCTCTGTATGGCTGATAAGGAATAAGGAATCTTTGCTTTACATTTAAATGATCTTAGGATTTTTGTTCTTAAATTCTCTGACTTTTTCCCAGAAATATTTGTTACCTAAAATTTAAACTGCATTATGGGTCATAGCTAACAAAGGAAAACCAGGTATAAGTCACACAAGTGCTCAAAACAAAAGGATAGGGTTAGCATTTGTAAATATTGCCTTATATAAATTCAATAATAATTATTATTGTATGAGGTAGTTTCATATCTTGCTATATGTGCAGGATGAGACTACTGAATCAACTCTTGGCATATGCTCCATGCTTTTAGGGAAAGAATTTGAGGAGATTTCATGTGTTTTAGGTGAAAAACCAATGCTCTGAAAAAACTGAAAGTTTTCTCAGCTATTTTTCTGTAATCTGTAATACTAAAGTCTGAAAACAAGGAACACTGACATCAGTACTTAGAGGGGACTATTAGCCTATGCAGCTGACGAAGGTGTTGTTCTATTAGTAGATAGGTGCAGTGTACTCACTAAATAAGCCAAGCCACACACAGCATTAAACTTTGCACACAGACATCAGCAAATTTTTCAGCTGTGCTTTTTTGTTGACAGATCCTGAAAGAACCCGATTTCTGGTTAAACTGTACCCATTCTGTGACTGTGACCTCAGAGTACATGACCAAGAAATGGTTTAATATGTGATACTATGTTTTTCCAATGAGTCACATCTATACAGGTAGATAAGAGAATATTCACACAAGAATTTGAATGCGAGATGAACTAAAGATTATCCAGCACCTACTTATTTTGTGATTTTTTTTAAAAAAAGTAACTTCAATGTGTTTTAGCTCTACACTGAATCTAGAATGGCCTACATTTTAAAGTTGAGATTCAAATTTCATGCTTTCAAAATGGTGATGTTTGATTTCAAATTAGCAAATGATTACAAAGACATATGATTTCCCCTAATATCTCATGCTCTGTATGTCAGATAAAGAAAAAGATATGCGAATAACCATATTTAAGAGACCGTCCATTCCTAGTTCTGGGAGCTGCCATACAGGTTTGTCTTCCAGGGTTCTAAAGAATAGTCCACTGAGCTCTCAATACCCAATGGCTCTTCTAGTCCAAAATTTCAAAGGTCTTCCACAATCCTCCTCAAAACAAGGTCAGAATTATTGCAGCAATACTCCACTTCTGGTACCAACTAGGGGTCAGTTGTTCTGATTGACTTTGTGTGTCAACTCAACACAAGTTAGAGTCATCCAAGGGGAACGAGCCAAATTGAGGAAATACCTACTAGAGATCCAGCAGTAAAGCATTTTCTCAATTAGTGATCAATGGAGGAGGGCCCAGCCTGTTGTGGGTGGTGCCAGCCCTGGGCTGGTGATCCTGGATTCTGTAAGAAAGCAGGCTGAGCAAGCCAGGGGAGCAATCCTGTATCACCCCCTCTGTGGCCTCAGCATCAGCTGCTGCCTCTAGGTTCCTGCCCTGTTTAATTCCTGACCTGACTTTTATCAAGGAGGAACAGTGTTGTGGAAGTGTAAGACGAAATAAACCCTTTCCTCTCCAACTTGCTTTTTGGTCAAGGGTTTCATCATAGCAATAGAAACCCTAACTAAGGGTCTTGTGACAATAATTGAAATATTTTGATATATTTCAGTAGAAATATTAGTTAAGGAAAGAGAGTATTCTTGCATTTTTTAACCATGAAAAACTAAAGGTTTTAATAAGAGGTTCCAGATATTGAGACATGTTGAAGCACAGAATTGCTTTTAAAGTAGCTCACGCACCATAGTAAGAGACCTGGATACCTTGTCATATAATGGCAAGGCAAGGCTAATGATTGTGTCAAAAGGAGAGAAATCATGTTTAACATAAGACTTGTTAGCCCATTTGATTGAGTAATGGGAGAGACAAGAAACCATGCCACAGAACCAGTTAACAAATGAAAAATGTAGATGACCAAAGCATATGAAAATATCCACTGATGGGTTCTATTGAAATGAAGGGGTCTTCTTATAGCTACAGTGGAGGAAAGAGAATATATTTCAAGCTCCTTTGGGACAGAGAGATTTTCATTTTTATTGAGATGACCTGATTTGATGTCTGATACATATATTCTTTGTCTATTGATCAAATCAGTATGGCTAGTATCATCTACTGCTTTCATCGTTTATCAGTGTTGACAGTATTCCAGAGTTTCTTAAATGTAAACGCAAACCTTCCCATTAACTGTGATCTCCCTACTGTACAGAACACCAGACCTTATTTCTGCTGACTGTG